AGCTGGACGAAACGAAGGCCCAAGACTCTGCAGGACACTCTCAATGGGGATGGGGTATGGTAGAGACCGTAATTGGCTTTTCTTTATTAGATCACAACCCACCCTCCTCAATAATATCCTGAATAAGAGAGAATATCACCATACACCCCCATTTTACAGATAAGAAAACCGAGACTTAGAATTAAACACTTTTTGTATATCATCTTGCTAATAAATGACAGAACCAACACAGGAATCAAGGTCTGCCTGCCTGGTTCCAAAATTCATGCTATTAGCCATGGGGCCACACTGCCTTTAAGTACTGTACTGTAGGTTATTTTTTTTTTTTTTTAACACAGGGATGGACTTATGCTGAGTTACTTTCTTGCTAAATAAATATCATCATACATTTCCAAAAAGCTATCCAGGGAACAGGATAGAATCAGCAATGTCCTCAAATTTAAGCTCAGTGGTCCATAAATAAATAAAGTCCATGGGCCTTGCCTTACTGAGACTTGATTCTCACCAACGCAACAAAGCAGTTTGGCTCCATCAGCAAGAAGAAGATGCCTACGTTGTCCCAGATCACTAAATCACATCTTCTTAAGAAGGAAGAACTCTGGAACAGAGTCTAAAGACAAGTCAGACTATTTCCCCTGCCCAGCAGGACTTCACGTGATGGCAGGTAGTCTTTCATTAGACTGAAATATTGCAACCAAACTGATTAGAATTAAGTAGTTAAAACGGGTCTTTGCTTTTTAGATCATGGGGTGATCTCTCACATTACACAAATAGCAAGCCAAAATAGCTAGAACTGGACAATTAGGATGAATAGACATTTACATCTGCTATAATAGCATCCGATTATGTGGGAAAAAATCTAAATATGATATCAAGTCAATTTTTAGGTGTCAAGATTTAGAGTCGCTCATCTTCACAGGCAGAAGAAACACTCTTATAAGAGTAGAAACAGGAATCATCCAAATTTACTATAAGAGAGAGATACCACACAAATTAATCTTAGCCCCATATACTCATAGACTTCCTAGGTCTGTCTGTCTTTCTTTCCTTCCTTCCTTCCTTCTTTCCTTCCTTCCTTCCTTCCTTCCCTCCCTTATCCTCTTATTCCCTTATCTTTGGCTGACATCTTTGACCCAAGAGTTGTCCCTTATACTAATCTGCTTGCTCACATTGCTTGGGTTCTTGGGCTACTTTGATCTAGGGTCTGACTTGGGCCATGCCCAACTCTGAATTCCAGTTTTCCATCTCCCACCCATGTTTTCTCCACTTTATATATACAAGTGCCTTTTTCTAACATTCCCATTTCTGTGTGGGGCCAGCAATACCAAGGGACTCATCCCCTAAAAAGCCCCAGTATAGAATAAAATTTAAGCTACAGTGGGACACACTGCGTTAGGAACTGTCTTAGGCTTATCACATTTGGTACAAATGGTCAATTCCAGATTAGTATTCATGCTTCTAGAAAATCATTAGAAAGAGAATGGCAAACTGAGTGATCAAATAGGTGTCATGATGAATGGTGTACCTTAATTCAAAGAGATTATGCCAAACACTTTTTCTTCACTAATCTTCAGAAGTGCCTAGAGTGGAATACTGAGAATCAGGGGTAGAAAGAGGCCATAGTTTTGTTAGAAATAGGGGCCAAGTTTGGCTCGGTGGCTCAGCCTGTAATCCCAGTACTTTGACAGGTAGAGGCAAGTGGATTGCCTGAGCCCGTGGGTTCAAGACCCACCCGGGCAACCTCGTCTCTACAATAAATCAAAAATTAACCAGGCATGGTAGTGCATGCCTGTAGTTCTGGTTACTTGGAAGGTTGAGGCAGAAGGATCGCTGGAGCCCAGCAGGTCGAGGCTGCGGTGGCCAGGAGCATGCCACTGCACTCCAGTCTGGGTGACAGAGTGAGACTCCAACTCAAAAAAAAAAAAAAAAAAAGAAAAGAAAGAAAGAAGAAATAGGGGCCAAGAAAACCTAAGAAACCTTCTCTTGAACAACACTCCCCCATATAGAAGTGGCCATACCGACCTGTTTACCCTACTGTTCTCCTACAGACATTCACCATAATATCTACCACAGGTTAAGCATTTCCCTTTGTTTCTCTGGGAGGACTATACTCCCTTTGATCAAGAGTAGAAGCTGTGTCCTTTTTTTTTTTTCATTTTAAGCACTAAACATAGTGTCTGGAACATATTAGGGCCTCAGTAGATGTCTGTTGCATGTAGGAAAAATGAAGAAAAGATACCCAAAAGAGTCTTCACTGAGGAATCAGTTTCAATAAAGAAAAACAATGTCATTGGAAAGCTCTATTTTTCTTTCTTCACAGAGAGCAGTCCAATCATTTTTACACTCCACTGATTCATTCTGAACATGGTGTCAGGAACAATACAGGGGCAAAAAACAATTAGTGGGGGAACAAAACAATCAGTTGAACCGTCTGGGATTTGAGCGATGTATAGATCAAATGTCTTAAATTTGCTAATCTCCTCATTTGGCCAGAATGGATGACTCTTGGCTGGTTGTACCAAGAATAATTGTCCCTCATATATCCCCAATCAGTTGCCTTTTAATGATTAGTCAGAAGTGACAATGTAAAAGGTGCTATGACTTTCATTGTACTTGGCAAGTTTTGGACCAACTCCCATTGATTTGCCCTTGGAATAGGTGAGCTCAGAGACACCTTGTACAGCTGGCTGCAGCCACTGCTAACTCCCTCCAACAACCATAAGGTCCTTGAGTTAAAAAGAGACCCAAGAGGAAAAAAATGAAATATCTGAGGCGACCTTTGATTCCTACAGTGCCTTCATTGGTAGCAGAAGATCCACAACACTTTGGCTTACACCAAAACTGTCTCATGCATCTCAGAGGTGAAATGACCTTTCTATCTTCAAAAACCAGCACCGGACGGGGAGATACCCCTTATCAACAAGGGTGCCTGAATGAAGCATATTTGTATACCTAACCCTAAACTGTACCCCACAATATCAAAATAAAAAATGTTGATATTAAAAAAAAAAAAACCCAGCACCAGGGTAGACTACCCTACAGAGATATTTGAAAAGAGTCCAGGCACTTAACAGACTGGTCAGCCAGCCCCATGTGGCCTGTTTCTGTTCCAGATGGCTATTTCCTCATCTTAGCTCACATTCTGGTTGTTACTGCTTTGAAAATCAGTGAATCTGTATTTAAATTCCATATGCTCCATGAAAGCTCTATTTTTCTCCTTCATTCCAATGTCCTGTGGTCTGTTTTTGGTCTGACTATAAGTAACTTTGCAGTTCTCTTGAAATGTATCCTAACTAGTAGCATAGTTCACCTCACAAAAACACTTTTTGAGAACACCTCATTGGTCAGCTGGCCTTATCCATGCCTGATCTAGGATCCCTCTCCATCACCAGTTTTCTGATACTTGAACAATTTCTAGCCATTGGTTGCCTTTAAGGATGTGACTCTCTGAGTCTCTCCTCAAGATATTTTCCCCGCTTTTGAATTTCCATCTCCTTTTACTCTGTCCATCAAAAGAGCCCATGCTTCTGCCTTGCATCATTGTATTATAGCTTCTTCTGTATATATTTCAACTCCAAGTTAAATAAATGATGAGCTTCTTGAGGGCAGGAACTATTCTACTTTGGATGCAGTATTCTCAGAGCCCTACAGCTATGCCCTCAGCAAAAACTTAGTAACTATGTAAATTGCTCTTCCACAAAAAACAGAGGCTGGCAGCCCATGGATCGCCAGCTTGATCCTATGTGCTTGGCATATAAAAAATAGATTAAGCTGCAATCTAATATAGCTTAGAGACTGGAATCTCCTTGTCCTGACATTGTCCCTTTGCTTACCTTTATCTCTTTCTGTCCTTTCCCCAAACTGTAAATTCAGACAAATATAAGAAGCTAAAGTGGTGAATGCTTCTCCCAGCATTCCTTTCTGTTATAAATCATCAGCCCCCATGTCTTCAGTCACCTCTCATACCCTTCCTCACCCCCACCCCCAACCCAGAAAAGAACAAAGTATCTGGTCCATTTTGGACTTTGGTTCCTCAAATGTGCCATGGTCTCTTACATCTGTCCCTTGTCACATGCTGTCCTTCCTGTCTAGGTAACAGTCCTTCCTCCCACTTCTTTGACAAGCAAACTCCTACTCATGTATCAAGTTACTCATGTCACTTACATATTTCTTCTCTGCAGAAGCTTTCTCTGCACCCCTACAGTATGTTGGGTCCCTGTGCAAGGGGTTCCCAAACTTCTCCGTACCTTGCCTTTAATGATGTTTATGATTATTATGACCATAATAATCACTAACATTAAATACTCACAATATTTCAGGAACCTATCAACTCACTTAAACATCATCAATAGATTGTGAGGTAGGTGCCTGAGTATCTCCACTTCACAAGTGAGGAAATCAAGTCTCATTGACCACCTTGATGAAGTTCACTTCACTCCCTAGGGCCAGATTTCTCATCCAGTCTGGCTCCAGAGTTCATGTTCTTAGCCCATACACCATACTGCCTATTAAACTCACCATATTTATAAGTCATTTATTGAACAGCTAAATATTCCACAAGGCACCACAAGGACAGGGATGGATTTGTCTTGTTCAATATTTTATCTTTAAGCCTGGTCAGGAGTTAGCTTGTAGAGAGCATTAAAAAAGCCTGAGTTAAGTGGATAAATGAAACAGCCAGTAGGTCTGGAATCCCGAAAGAGAAGTATTCACCCTCTGTAAATAGAAATCACCTAACCAACAAAGTCTTATGATCAGGATGACACTGATTCTAAAGCTTCCCTTTCTGTGACCCAATCCCAGCCAAACAAATTCAAGCATTCAGAACTAGAGAGGGTGCAATAGGAAATCGTAAACACAAAAACTCTTCTTTGGAAGAAAGACAGCACAGGTGGATACAAGGGTCTGGGGCTGTCCCGGGATCCAGCTGCAGAACCTCACCCCCACTCAGACACTCACGGGCCACCTAAGAGGGCCGCCACCCAAGAGGGCCTACTCACCCCTTTCGCAGGTTCTTCCCCAGTAGCCGGTGCCGGTGCAGTCACAGATGAAGCGATTCCAGCCGTCCTTGCACACCGCGTTGTTCTTGCAGGGGTAGCTGTCGCACTGCTTAGCGCTCATCCGTGAACAGGAGGACTTGACGCCCGCGGCGTTCTGCATCTCCGCCAGCTGCCGGATGTTCTTGCTGCGCCCGTCGATGAACAGGTCTCGGATGCAGCCCACGTAGCCGTAGTTGAGCATGGCGGTCCAGAGCTCGGTGGGGAGGATGAGGCCAGCCCGGTTCTCCGGCAGCCCACCCAGGTACATGTCCCCCTCCAGGTCCAGAATCTCGCTTTCCCCACTGGCAGTGAATGGCGTGCGCCTACTGTTCACTGATATAGTACCTAGGGCAGGAGGACAGACGCAGAGTGGGTAACAGCTCTCTTGGCATCTCAGGTGAGGTTCTTTCTTCCCTCCACCCACCCCCCACATTGATTAACCAAACGAAAACTGTCCAACAGGTGAGTCCTCGGACCTGCTGATGCCTGGCCAGGAAGGAACCATGCAAGCAAAGGAGTGAGATGCTGCAAGACTATGGAAAAAACGTGGGCCATTTTAGTCCAATCCCTGCCAGCTAAGACAAACTGGCCCTTAGGAAGACCCAGGAAAAGCCCAGTGCCTTAACACCTAAGTGCATCTTTTTCCTGCCTAGCTGTCTCCGCTGAGAGGTAGCAAGCCATATAGGTTGAGAGCAGCAAACTCCCTGCCTGTTTTTATATCCAAGATCCAACATGCACCAGCTGTATAACCTTGAAGAAGTGACCTCACCTTCCTATGCCTCAATTTCCTCATTTGTAAAATGAGAAAAAAACTGTCCCTACCTCACAGGTTTGTGTGATGATTAAAAGAGCTAATACATGCAGAGTGTTTCTAATAGTGATTAGGACAGAAAAGGGGCTTTGCCTGTCTTCTTCACAGGCTTGTCATCCACAAAGGATGTTTCTCCCTCATGCACTGGTACCCTCTAGACTGGGCATTGATGACCAGCCCTGCCAGTGTATATTTGAACATTCTCTTTGATACATTTTTCATTTTAGTTTTTATTTTAAAGATGTTGGGTATAATTCAGGGTAAGGTATACGAATGGTCATTGTACAGGTCAAGTTTGGGCCCCACTTTGGTCCCCACTTCACCTGGTTTGAGATCAGGTACCCTTATTGATGGAGTGTGCCCCTTCCTTCCCACTACTGCCAATCCCTTTCTTATAGTATTATGCAGCATAATTCACAATAGCAGAAATATGAAACCAACTGCGCTGCCCATTGAAAGTGAACTGGAGCCGGGCTCGGTGGTTCAGCCTGTAATCCCACACCTTTGGGAGGCTGAGGTGAGTGGATTGCCTGAGCCCGCAGGTTCGAGACCCGCCCTGG